TCGCCCCCAGTGTGTTGATTCCATCGCTGAGGTGTTTCTCACAAACATGCAGGTTTCTGCCTTGAATTTGGAAACTCCACGGACTTTTACAGCTTCACCACTCTGTCTCAGGCTTGGTTAGGTACAGGAGTCTCCTGCTGGGAGGGGAGCAGCTCTGGCGCGTGTCTGTAGGGTTTTGTGGAGATAACGGTGATGAATCAATCATCAGTTAATACCTGTCAAACCCAGGTAGTCACAAGAACCYTCCAATATGCCCCGTATCGACTCCCTTCTTGTTCCTCGGCATCTGAATCCCATTAACAGCTGTCAAAACCTGGTAAACTATTTATATGCTTTCACAATTTGTTTAATTGGATAGTTAGGAAATGGCATACAAGAAAAGCTTTTCTTTTTTCCTTTTTTTTTTCCTTTAGTCTGGCTGAACATCTGTAGCATTAGGGGCTCATTATCTCTGAATTGGCACAGCAAATCAGCAGCATCATTAAAATGCCACATTAAGATGATTAAGTTTCTTTGTTACCCAGTTGACTTTTTRCATGTGCTGAGGATTTCACGATTATGACCCCACTCCTTGTAAAACACTTGAGCTACATCACCCTTTCCTGCCGTTGTCTTTAATAGGTTTTCGGTTTTATTCCTTGTGCTTTTCCAATCGCTCCTGGTAAACTTTGCTTAACAACAGGACAAAACTTACATTCTCTTCTCTGTATTTGGTGCTGAAGTCTCACGTTAAATGGAGAATTTTGGGGGGTTTTCCTTCTGAAATATCCTCCTAGAGAAAACAGCTAAGATTCAGAAACCCTCCAACTTGCCTAGTTATTTGTCATTCTTGACTTTTTTTTTCCTACATTTTCAGCCTGGATTAGAGAAGGTTGTGTGCAGATCTCAGAGCAGCYATCCAGTATCTGAAGGGACGTACAGGGAAGCAGAGATGGGCTCTGCTTCAGTAACAGGAATGATGGGACAAGAGGGAATGGCTTTAAGCTGAAAAAGGGGAAATCCACGTTGGATACATGGGAGAAATTCCTCCCTGTCAGGGTGGTGAGGCMCTGGCATAGGTTGCYCAGAGAAGCTGTGGCTGCCCCATCCCTGGCAGTGTCCAAGGCCAGGACGGGCTTTGGGTGTGCTTGGAGCAACCTGGGCTGGTGGAAGGTGTCCCTGCCCAGGGCAAGGGGTGGGACTGGATGAGCTTTAATGTCCTTCCAACACAAACCCTTTGTGATTCTATCGTTTTATRGAGCGCACACAAGCGCTGTTTGGGTGGTGACTCAGTCTGAAGTTGCCACCGCAGCTTTATTTTGGATTTTTTCCAGAACCCATTGTTTTTACAGTGTTTCAGGTGAAACAAAAATATTACTCTGGAGTATGTCTTTCATCTCGTAATCATCTCCCCAGGAAATGAAACCATGTGCATCAGCCTTAACGCATCACACCGGTACTTTGTTCTGTAAAAGCTGCAGCTTTTTTTTCACAGTGTATATTAACTCCATGAACTGCCTCAAGAAAAATAGTTCCCTGACTTGGACTCCGTGAATGCTTTTTTTTCTCTTACAACCTCTTCACATTCATAATAGAACAGATGATAGCACTTCTTTTTTTTTCCACCGTGGGAACTTCGTTAGTGTTTTTAGGGATAATTGTGTTTTTCCTCAGTTAAATTTCCCTTTTCTACATGAAGTCACAGCTTCCCTCCTCTTGATTAAGGCAACCTGGAAACTCCCTGATCTAATAAAATATGCTGATATGATTTTTAAGTGACAGATACCAACCTTCCACACAGCTGCCAATCTCCTGATCACATGGTACTCTCTGTGCATGCCAGTACAGAGAAAAGCCTGGGCTGAAAAAGGAATCTCGTGGCTCCAGACTCTGCAATCACTTGGTTAATTTTAGTCCAACCTGTACTGAGCCATTTTTTCCTCAGACTTTACACCAAAGCTGTCTCCTGCAACTGTCAGAGAGGTGAAGCAGCCTCTAAACTGTAACAGGTGAAAAATCCCAACCTTTAAATTTATGTTATTTGGATTTTAAAAGCCTCTTCCYTCATGGCTTCTGCTGGTTCCAGTCATCAGAAAGCGAATTTTTCTGTGAGGTCCTTCAAACACCTACGAGAAAGCACTCCAAATGTGGATGTCATGGATAGCTGGAGTGATGTTTTTTGCAGAGGCAGTGATGGAAAAGCCTTGATCAGAACTCAGGCACATCCTCCTCTGTTACTACAAGGAAACACAAGCCTTACATCAGGTTTGAAAACTGCAGAGGTGATTATTTTCCACGCTAGAACCATAGGATGGTTTGCCCAGTTTACACCAGTCCCCAAGGATGTACCACAGAGGGCTCAAACCAATGCCCATGCTGTGCCACACAGACSCTGGCACAGCTCTGGAGCTGTGAGCTGAGAATTGTGGTGAGAAAGAGCAGCAAAYGACACAGAAGCCTCTGTTGGAGGTCACAACTTGGCCTCCACTGCTAAATAACTGCATGCGAAGCAGACGAAAGGTGAGACGTTAAGTAGAAAGTGGGAATTGAAATTGTTTCTGAAAGCACCAACAAGGTGCAGCTGCACCGGGTACTTCCTTTTACCGTGCTGGGCAGGATGTAGCAAATTATTTTGGAACTGCCTCCTTTTGAGAGGGAAAAAACAACCAACCAACTGAATAAGCTTTGGGGTTTTTTTTCTGGAAAAGGGACGGGTGTTGAAATCTGCTTTCAGCAACTGGCAATATTTTTTCCTTGGAATGATGGAAATGGTTGTATAAACTAATTTTGAAGGAGTCTTGATAGCAGGATCACCCTCGCACCCTTGGATATGAAGCTGGCAACAGAAGGCACCTGTGGAGGAACCCCTGTTTTTTGTGGAAGCAGAAATCTGTGGGATGTAAGGTAGAGCTGGTACTGAAGAATCCACAAAGAGAAACAGCCCATTTTTGGGTAACTCTGGAGCTCCATGTGACCCTCTGAACAAACATCAAACCCACAGGAGCTCATCAGGGACTGGGGAGGCAAGTCCCAACAGCAAAATCTAAACATTGTCCAGGGTAGGGCAATAAAACCACACCATATGGGACAAAACCCCATTCTTCCATCAATATCCCCACCCAAGGAGAGCACAGGAGGGATCTCAGAGCTTTCCACACTTCTGAGGGGTCTTGTGTGGGACAAAGAAATCATCACCCACCTGTTTCCTCCACCTCAGTCCAAAGTCAGACAGATTGTCATGGTTTAATACAATAAATTAGGACAGAGGAGTGGTTTTCGTCCTAAAATGTAGCTGAAAATTTTGGTTTAATGAAAATTTAGGTTGCCAGATCTTTCTTTTTCAACGTTTCTTTTATGTCGCCACCTCATTTTCGCTGTCACCCATTGTTTGTTCTCAGCATTTGATGTGGTTTATTACTCAGAACCAGAGCTAATACATATTCAGCAGTTCATGTTCTGTACTTTGGAGAAAGGACAAGTGATTCTGTGCCAGATTGAACTGTCTAACCCTCTGCTGGAAGGAGGAGCAGGTGGCCAGAGAACAAGACTTTCAAACAGGAAGCTGTGTGCTGCATCCCGTGGTGYTTGCTTCACTCGGTAGCTTGAGGCGCAGCTCCCATTTCAGCCAGTCTTTTGTCAGAGCCCCATGGAATGGTTTAGGTTGGAAGGACCTTAAATATCTCCATTTCCACCCCCTTGCACTAGCTCAGGTTGCTCCTCCAAGCTCTGTCCAACCTTGCCTGGGACACTTCCAGGGATGGGGCAGTCACAGCTTCCCTGGGCAATCTGTGCCAGGGCCTCACCACCCTGACAGGGAGGAAATTTCTTCCACATATTTGACCTAAATTTCCCCTTTTCCAGCTTAAAGCCATTCCCTCTTGCCCTGTCACTCCAGTTCCTGATGAATTGTCCCTCTCTAGCTCCCTTGCAGCCCTTTGAGACSCTGGAAGGTGCTGTGAGGTCTCCACGCAACTTTCTCAGCCGGCTTTGAGAAGAAAAAAAACTTTCCTGGCAATTATTAAGGATTTTAATGGAAGTGTTGGTAGAGTTGGAGTTAATCATGGAAAGGAAATTCAGCGCCCTAAGTTGGGAATCATCAGCTGTTTATGCAGTGTGACCAATTTGCTTGTGTTTTTACACTGTTAGTCAATAATTAGCTGCTTGTTGCTTCCGCCTTTGTCATGGAGCTGCATTCATTCAGGCAATGCCTTTGGATTCTTCTGGACATGGCTACAGGTCCAGGAACCTKTCTGAAGCTGTGGATGCTGATTTTCAGGATGCTGATTTTCATGTTCTTTGTCACATCCTCACAAAATGACTTCAGACAAATCTTTTGGCATTTCTGGGATACATTTGTTTATCAGGAAACCCTTATCCTGTCTCTGCTAATTTTACTCACGTTGTAAATTGAGATTATCAACTGCTCCTCACACGTCTGAGAGCTATGGATAAAAATTGTGGTTAGCAAGTGAAAATTGCTATTATTGATTAGGCTTAACTAGTGAGAATCTATCCCATGGGAGCACTGGGAGTCTTACACAGATCCTAGATTCTTTTCCAAGCACCAGAGGTTCCACAAGAAGGTCAAAGTTATAAGATATAATTGCCCTTTTTAATTTGTGCCTTTCTGCATCTCCAATTCACAGGAGCAGCCTGAAATGACAATTTCTATAGAAATAATAATTGTGAATAAGTCTTTTCTCTTGAATCCTRGCTAGTAATTTCAGGAGAAGCTTGCACCATATTATACTTTCATAATCTGTASAAGGAAATTCTCCATCAAAGATAATTATCAGGCAGGTTAATTGTTTTTAAGGGTTATCTTTGTGAGTATCACTAAGTATCTATGACCAGTGAAGTTTCATGTCTCAACTTCATTTCTTCACCTTTGGTGTTTCWGTAAAACTTTTAGGAAGATGAATGCTATCATTTTACATAATTTTTAGTGTGTTTTTTCCTAAGATACTTCACGGTCTTTAAGCGTAACATTTTTTCACTCCTGTGTTTTGTTTTACCTGCAGATGATGTGATTAAAGTGAAAGGTGAATACAGTGAAAGAGAGGAGAGTGCTCTGAATTCCGAACCTATGGAAAACCTGGAAGAATCGGAACTGCCTTACACATATCCCAGAGAATATAACGAATATGAGAGCATTAAACTGGAAAGACACTCGGGTTCATATGACAACRTCAGGCCAGCTAGTGGAAAGATGAATTGTGATATCTGTGGATTAGCCTGCATTAGCCTCAATGTCTTGATGGTTCATAAGCGTAGCCACACTGGTAAATATCCCTCTGTTGTTCTTGTAAGAGCTGGGGTACTRAAAGGATGATAATTTTTAATCTAGACTAGTTATTTTTGAAGAGTATACCAAAATCAGGGTTTCCTTGTTCTGTCCTTKATGCCACATATGATCTCTAGCAAGTTACTCGCTGTTCTGTGCCTCACTTTACCCACTTTTCTTCTTATTGGGATTGAATATAACTAAAAGCAAGTTTGAGAGGCATTTTAGGAATTTTGGATGAAAGGCACTATGTAATTGCAGTATTTCAGGCACAAAGCACAAGTTAATTTGGTTTTGTGCTGCCATTTTCAGTCTGTRTATAAATTTCTCTCTGTGCTATACTTTGGCAACAAACCAATGAACATCTTAAGATGCAGCCTGCAGCAAGATAAGGTTTTTTTTTTCTTCTAAAAATTGCTGGCTTGTTGGAATCAGCCTCCTCCGGAGCGCTTCTTTCCATGRAAGAACTGTGCAGTGTTTTCCATAGTCCTACATATGCTACGAGCAGCTCTGACACCAGAGCTGCACCTCCCTCCCACTGAAGTCACACTCTGTGTGTTTCTATAGAAAGAAATCCATCCAGTATCTCATTCTTTCCTCTTCCAAAAAGGCAGAGGACGGCATGATACCCACGTAACCATTAAATGTCCTTTTCTGTATGTCATTTTAAGGTGAACGGCCATTCCAGTGTAATCAGTGCGGAGCTTCCTTTACTCAGAAGGGAAACCTCCTCCGCCACATTAAACTACACACAGGGGAAAAACCTTTTAAGTGTCACCTGTGCAGTTATGCCTGCCAAAGGAGGGATGCGCTTACGGGTCACTTAAGGACACATTCTGGTAAGTGACTTCACAGGCACTCCATGTGTTTTGGATGTGTGTCACTGGGACACTCGGTGTGGAAAAGACAGTCAGCAAGGTTTGCTCAGCCTGTGAAAGGGTCAACGCAGAGCAGTGACCACTCGCTGTGCTYCTGGAGCCAATTCAGGACTGGCTCTCCTCTTGGTGCGGAGAAAGGGGCCAGGGGAATGCATGTCACAGCCCTCAAACCTGCTTGCACAAATAACTCCATGGTATTTTCACAGAATCACAGAATTATTTTGGTTGGAAAAGACYTCCAAGATCATCAAGTCYRACTTTTGACCCAYCACCACCTTGTCAGCTCATTTTCAGATGAGTGGAGCTGGCTATGCCAGCAAGCTCTGAACTTGAGGAGAGTGTGAGACGTGCTTTGCTGGGGCTTCCTCCCATYCCACCCTGATCTGTGAGGAGCACCCCAGCAGCATAATCCCAGGCAGATGACCCTATTGCCACCTCACTGTGGTATAGTGCCTTTCATCTGAATCTCTTAAAATGCTCAGCAGATGTTTATTCTCAAGCCTGGTAGGGTGTTCTGTCAGTTTTGCAGATGAGGAAATGGAGGCACAGAGCTGAGGTGACTTGGATAACAAGCCAAGTATAATTGGATTTTAGCTGGCCCGGTTCTGCAGGAGCCACGTTGTGCTTGCCCTTGAATTTGTATCCTGCATTCTACATGGGCCCAGAAAGAAAGCCTTGATTCTAAATTACAGATGCTATCTCTGTACTACAGTGTACAGAAAAAAAAGCTCAACCTCAGAAAGAATCAAAGTCAAAAATAAATGTATCTGCCACGGATAAATGAGATTATGATTTAATCGAGAACAGCAGTGTGGTGCTGTCCCCCACCAGCACAATGCTAAAATCATCACGCTTCAAGCAAGACAGTGTTTTAGTGATCTCTTGTGGTTATTTTAATTACTTTATTGTTTCTTTTTCTAGTGGAGAAGCCGTACAAATGTGAGTTTTGTGGAAGGAGCTACAAGCAGAGGAGCTCATTAGAAGAGCACAAGGAGCGGTGCCGGACTTACCTGCAGAACGCTGGCATGTGTGAGGCTGGTGAGTTTATCACATTACAGTGGTTTTGGGGTTTTGGTACATTACAGGGCTTATAAAAGGGCATCTGGTGAGCTGTTAACCCACAGCCTGAGAACAGCTTTTCCTACACTCCTTTTCAGTAACCCGAGGGGYTGTAACGTTACAGAGGGGCTGGTTCATTGCAGCCCTCAGGCAGATATTTAGAGAGTGCTTTTATTTTAATTACTTTTTTCTTTCACAGTTACTTTGTGTAAAACATCTAAAATACCTTGTACCCAGCATTTTTGGAGGTGATGTTCAGTGAATTAAATTATTCCTACATTCATGCTATTATGTGGCTCATTTTATGGGATGAGGTGTTGACAGYCGTTGTTCCTGTCTCTGTGTGTTTGATGGTTCGTTTTCTTTAGAATAAGAAGTGTTAGAATTTACAGCAGTTTTAGTAGCCTGGATCCAGGGCATGAAAAGGGAATGGTATCCCAAAAATCACTGGCAGATCGTCTTAGGAGGGAGTGAGAGGTAAGGGAATGCTTTGAGTATAGAGCTGCCTTTTGAAAAGACAAAATATATCAAAMCATGTTTTATTCTTGTTTTCCGTTTTGCAGTCTCAGTGCTGCAGTTCAAAAATATTTTGGTGAAAAGTAACTGCCGTAATCTTTGTCCTTATTTCACCTGAACCATTCAAATCCTAAAATGAACTGTGTGATTCGAGTTTCACAATACACCAGTAAGTCAGGAAAAAATTGTTCTTCCCATTCAGAGTCAGGGAGTGGCTGTGACCTCCCAAAGGATTCTACAACTGATCTGAGCAGAGCTGAGGCTACGATTTCAGAATTTGGGTTCCCATTTTTGCTATGCAGCTTTGAAAAAACACCAAATAATGGAAACAGGGAATTACAGAGGGTTTGGGTGGGAAGGGACCTTGAGGATCATCCAGTGCCACCCCCTGCCATGGGSAGAGACACCTTCCACTAGCYCAGGTTRTTSCAAGCCCCATCCARCCTGRCCTTGGACACTTCCAGGGATGGGACAGCCACAGCTTCCCTGGGCACCCTGTGCCAGGCCCCTTCACAGGGAGGAATTTCCTCCTARTAACTCTATCACCAGTAAGGAYAAGATTCTGCAGGAATCATCACAAGCCAGGCCTGAAAATCAGTGTGAAGAACCATTGGTGTGTGATGATAACYGTGGGTACAGGAATCCCTACACTGTGCAGAGTGAGTAGGTTGGTATTTCAAGCACACAGGAAACCTCTCAAAGCACAATGATTTTTAAAGTTTCATAGGGTTTTTTTAATAGTTTTATAGTTTTGGGGAGGCTCTCTTCTCATCAGCAAATGACAGGTTTCTTAGAGCATTAGTAAAAGTAACTGGTTATCAGCACATCAGCAAATTTGGGGTTTCGTGAGAACCCTTRCACATTGTAACTGTGGTTTGAGTTACAGTACACACTCCCATGATGGCGATCAGCCAACATTGTCCACCCATGAAAATGGAAAACATGAGGTCTGTTGCAGCTTTCTGCTTCAGAACCATTCTCATAGTTTCGATGCATTTCAGAATAGCAACATTTCACCCTTTATCCTGAGCCTGCAGTGCAGTCCTTGCTGCATCAGCACAGGGAGCCTTAACTGGTCACATGGAATGCAAATCAATGGTTGCTCCCTCTGTCTCGGAGACCTTCACACCCTTACAAATATTGCAATGTTTTTAGGGAAGTGGGAAATTTTACAAAAAATGGGAACTCCTGCTGTCAACAGGATGTTGGGTGACAGAACCGGAGAGAGAGAAAGCTGGAAAGACTCTCAGGAGGTCATTTGCTACATTTAAGTAATTTTTCTTCCCTAAATGTAGCACTTTGCATTTGTGTTTATTAACATTCTCTTCCCATTACTGATCCTTTCCCTATTTCTCTTCATTACTTTGAATTTTGGTGTTTTTCTGAATTCCTCATAAGCTTCTGAACCTGGTCTGGTGGAAGGTGTTTCTRTCCATGGCAGGGAGGTGGAACTGGATGACTTTTAAGGTCCCTTCCAACTCAAACCATTCCAAGATTCTGATTCTCACATTGAGCCATCTTTAGACATGAAAGTGCTCTACACGTTCTCATCCCTAACTAATTAAAATATTTTAAAGCATCAGGACTGTAGTAACCATTCTAGTTGCTTTTTAGTGCCTGACTAGCACGTTCAAAATGTAGAAATATTTCTAGAAGAGAAGTTTTATGTAACAATGTAGTTTGAGCGTTGTCCCTGATAACCATCTCTCTCACATTGTTCTCAYTGCACAATCACCCAGCTCTGTTCCACTCTCCCTTCTTGAGTGACCACACAGAGATGCTACAGGAAGCAATGCCTCTAATTTCAGCTCRGCTTTGTACTTGGGGGGTTTGCTAATGATAGCTGCATGTTCTAAAAATTCTACTCACATTGGTGGTGTGGCAGAAACCACGCWATGGGAACAGCTCAGTGCAGGGTGAGTGTGGTGTGTGCTCAGGGCTGGGAGAGCATCCGCTCTCTCTCCAGCTACAGGGTGACATGGTGGCCCAGACATGGATTCCCCAACSCTGGAAGTGTTCAGGGCCAGGTTGGACAGGRTTTGGACCAACCTGGAATAGTGGAAGATGTCCCTGCCCATGACAGGGAGGTGGCACAAGATGATCCTTAAGGTCCTTCCAACCCAAACCACTCCATTACCCCATGATGGCCAGGGGACAGCACTGTTTGGAGAGGTCACTCCTCACCCAACATAAAGAGTTCTTCATAATGGTTAATTCACATAGGCAGGAAAATGGTCCTCTGGAAGTGTTTTATACAGACAGGATCACACTGAAATGTACACTGAGATGGGCAGCAGTGCTGGGAGCAGCATGGAAACATCTCAGGGGGTCAGGGAAGACCGTTCTGAGCCCTGGTGCTGGCTGAGGAGGAGAGGGGCACCCAGCTTTAAAAGCAGTGAGACCAACCCCATCTTTATACCACATAAAATCCCATGCTTCCAGCTCAACTTCCCATGTAGCTCCAAAATCACTAATCAGATCTGATCAAGAGTGCCAAGGTGATTTATTTGGGCTGCAGAATTTCTTTTAGCATCCTCAGAGTTTTTTTGCTTTCTGGCCCTGCAGCTGAGCCTTCAGAGCCCTGAGCTTGCAGGACATCCCAAAATCCCAGGCTGCAGTAGGTTCAGTGCTTTGGAAGTCTGGATTTTCTGGTTTTACTTTTTCTCAGYGTAATTTTGAGCAAAGCACTTGACTATTTTTGTTAGTCCAGCCTGAATTTTATTTTTAGATATGTTTATAGTGAGATAATTAGTTCTTTAAATCAYGATGTGCAGTGGACTCATCCAGAGGGAGGATAATTGAAGCGGGACACAGGGCGTGATTGCTTCTCTATAATTGAGAAGCCCTTGGAGAATTTGGAATGATTAAAAACCGGTTTCCTAAATGATAAATATTATTCTTGGATTGTTTAGTAAGTTATCCAGAATTTAAAAAAGTGGATAATTTTCACTTAGTTTGTGGGTACAGAGAGCAGTGTTGTGGTGAGAACCTGTGTAACAACCTCCATCTTACTGGGACAGACAATGTTTCCCTAAGGCTGGCTTGTGAAAATATCGTCAAAGACCTTTTGTGGCCCCTAAATAGAGATTATCTTTTCTTTAGGAAAAAATAGCCAGTAGCAAGGAGTCAAAAATCTTAATGTGAAAGGAGAGATCCTCAGCATTAAAATGAAAGGGCAGAGAACCATGAAGTCGGGAGACTGAGTTTACAGAAGTCCCAGAACATGTTATGTAGGTCAATAGTTACTGTCTCTGCACATCTCCTCTGAGGAAAGACTCTGCTCTCCCTCCAGGAAGCCCTCGTCTGCYCTCCTGACATTAATTTAACAATTAAAGTTCCCTTGGTGGCACATAAATAATGTTGACAAGGCAAGTCGTCCCTGGTTCGTGCAGCTTCCAGTGTGTTCCTGGGGCTGGGAGGGCCAACAGCAGCTCTGTGATGAGTTCTGTCAGGATAGAGAAAAAGAAAATGTGGAATTAAAGCTTTACTAAAGCAACCCATAAGTCCTCAGGGTACAACTCCTGGAGGTAAACACTGAGAAAAAGAGGAACTACAATAACAAAAATCAGAAAAACAAAGAATTGATAGAGACCAGGATGCTGCTTTTATGATTTGGGTGAAGAGTGTTTTCTTTCTTTCTCCATACAAAGAAAAACGTACATTTTTTAGTATGCAGCACTGTTTGTATTATTTTGTTCAGGGTTATTGGGGTTTTAAAATTTAAATTACTGTTTTTAATTACTTGAGCAATGATCCAGTCAAGCTTATGAGGTTTTGGGGTTGGGGATTGTCCAARCCTTGGACTACAGTCATCTAAAGTTAATATAAAGAACTCAGAATGCATATTCCAGACTTTGGAGCATGAGAACTAAACAGAAGTCCTCAAATTACAAATCCTATAATTTTCAAGACCAAACTTAAGCTTCTGGCCCAGGCCCAAGTGGGTGATTACACTCTGCCTCCCTCCCTTCCCCTCGGAGTGTCACCTCAACCTGGTGTTTTGTCTCACTTTGTGCAGCTCTTACATCGTGTCTGAGTATTTCAGGCTGTGAGCAGGGATGAATATATTTATGGGAGTCTCCAAACATACTGGAGTAATTTAGAATAAAAACCAAGACTAGAAGAGCAGTGTGTTATTACCTTCAAGGCACTTCATGCCCTGCTCAGGGCTGGTTGTCACGTACATTCCAGGGTTCCAGGACTGTGACCCAGTGGAGCCATGCCCTGTGATCCCATCCTCTCCCTGACTCATATTTGTAGCTGGTGTTTGTGGCACCAAGAACCTCTGAAACACTTTACGTTTTCAAACTGCTGAACAAACACGAACAAATAGTTCTGGCTGAGGTTTGGTGAGTCATGGTTTGTGCTGACTGAAACTCGTGTGTTATCAGGAGCTGCACTGACAAACAGGTACAGAGGACAGGCTGAAATGCTCAGGGAAAGGCTGCACAGAGCTGGGAAGGATGAAGCTGCACTTTCAGCACTCACTCTACTGGGCAAACAGAAATTTCAGTCTGATACTCAATAAATCTGCATTCAGCAGGACTGAGATGACACCTAAGTGTTCCTATTGCTTTCCTCTGATACTGCTTGTCTCGTAGGCTATGCTTCATATATTCAGGGAGACCTCATTGTGGCCTTCCAGTGCCTTAAGGGGCTTAGAAAACAGAGGCAGACAGGTTTTTATGCAGTAGTAGAGAGGGACAGGGCAAAGGCCAGTGGTTTTAGGCTGCCAGAGGGCAGGGTTGGATGGGATGTTAGTGAGAAATTCTTCCCTGTGAGAGATGTGAGGCCTTAGCACAGGGTGCCCACAGAATCTGTGGCTGCCCCAACCCTGAAGTGTCCAAGGCCAGGCTGGATGTGGCTTGGAGCACCCTGGGCTCCAGGTACAGTGGAAGGTGTCTCTGTCCATGGCAGGGGGTGGAACTGGATGGTGTTTAAGGTCCCTTCCAACCCAAGTAATTCCAAGTTTCCATGAATCTGTATTTAGATATTTCGGTGTATGTACAGTAACACTGCAGCCAGAACTTTTCCACAGTGAGATCCAACCTTTAATATTACCTTGGGAAAGTAAATCACCCTTCTTTGTCCTCAGACCATTAATATGTGTCCAGTTTTCAGCACACTGATCCCTAACTCTGGCACTCTTACCAAGGAGTTTACTCTCTCTTATAATTTTTGATATAAAAGTACCACTCCAGCTGTGTGGTGTTGAGGTGTGAGCAGGTTTGGGGGGAAGCCACAGCAGTTACGATCAGTATTAGTGTGGTAGTAGYGATATGAGGTGGCAGCTCTCCAGCTCAAGACCTCTGCAGAGCCTCCAGGAGCTGAGAGCAAGCACAGCTCCTGTGCAGTGCTGGGCCCTGCTCAGCACAGCTGAGGAGAGCTCTGGAAAACGGGAAGAGCCTTAAGTGGCTCAGTCYCAAGGGAGTGATCACAGGACACAGGCACTTTCCCAAAAATTAGAAATTTGGGAAGYTGTAATGAGCTTTAAAACACAGAGAAAACATTTGTAGTTAGTTTTAGCTGTAGCAATTAGGATAAAATATTAAGTGACATTAGCACCTGGAGAAAAAAAGAGTTAGAAATTTTGAATTTTGAAAGGTTTTATTACTTTTATTTTACTGGAACACTGATACATTTCATGCAAGTTTCTTAGTGATTCGTTAAACATCTATGACTGATATCTGAAAAGCGCAGCAAGARGACTGAATATCTCCTCCTGCAGCTCAAAGCACTGTGTGAGTGTGCAGGTGTCACCCAGCCTTACTCAGAATAAAAAAGAAAGGCCATTTGCAATTTAACCAATCTTCCAGCCAGTTCATTTACTTCCTCTTGCTGGTGACAGTGCTGGTTTGTGCTCCCCCACCGAGTGAGCTCAGGGCTCTGCTGCCACTGACCACAACGGGTGCCCAGAGAGCAGGAACAACAGAAAAAGCAAAACCAGCTTTGCATTAGATCTCCAAACTGTTTCCTCCAGTTATGTGGCCAATCGGAGATTAAACCAGTCAGCTCTTCCTTTTCTTAATCTTTTTTTTTCCTTTTCACCTACGTGTTGTGTTTTTTTTTTCTCTTTTTTTTCCTTCCTTTTCACATTTTCCAACCTAGCCAGCGTGGAGGCAAGGCACATCAAGGCAGAGATGGGGACTGAAAGAGCCCTTGTGCTGGACAGGCTAGCGAGCAACGTGGCAAAGAGAAAAAGCTCAATGCCTCAGAAATTTATTGGTAAGAACAAAAACCCTTTTCATCTGCAACAGTTAAATACGTGCGGGTCGGTAACAAACAGTACAATGGCTCTGCTTCTTTTAAATATCCTGCTCAAGCTTAGCATCTAATACAAAAKAATAAAGTAACACTGATTTTTCTGATGGGGTTTTAGTGATTTGTTGTAAGGGCTTGATTAAAATAAAAATAATTTATTCTGCTGGCTGCTTAAAGTGGGTGGAAGCTACTGTTGTGCTTTGTGTCTTTATGTAGGTGATTTATAAATACATTTTATGAGTTTCCACGTGCCATTTCTGTACCTGTGCATTTGAAATGTTCTCTGCTAGGATGTAGAACAGGCAAAGAATGGGAAGGTTAATGTTTTCTCAGCAGGAGCTGAAGATTCCTGCAGGACTCATGTGTGGAATAAGGCCTAAAGACAGAAAAGTATTGCATTTCTCTTAGTCATCCTCCTAAATTTGTCTATGATTAAAAAATATAAAATCTTTTCTTGTGGTAATTTAAGCAAGCAGATGTTTCCATAGAATTTTCTTTGCATTTAATTGTACATGATCAGAGTTTTGCATGTTGGGGATCTTAAATACTAGTTGGGCAGGTTCTGTGTTTCAGCAAATACCTGATCCTCTTGGCCAGTCTTATTTCACCAACCTGCCTTTAAAGAAAATAAAATGCAGCCCTGTGTTCTAAGGAAAACCCTCAGTCAGCAGTTATATAATATTGGTGCTGGTGAAGCCTTATTTGTAGGTTTGCTCTTTGTAAGGTTATATAAGGTAACAAGGGCTTTTTTTTTTTTTTTTTTTTTTTTTTTGCTTCATATAAAGTTCACTTTCTGAGTGGGCACTGTGTGGGGAGGTAGGGATGTGGGCTGGGGGAGCAGGCAGGGCTCCCACAGCTGCTGCAGGCAGCACAGGGTGCAGCAGCTCCAGAGCCAGGTAAAGGTGTGCAGCTGGATCCATCCACACTGGAAACCAACTCAGTTTTTGAAGGTAATGGAGCTCTTAGTGGGTTTGGTGGGTAGCACTGAGTTTTCATCTATGAAATTTGGTCTCTTTTATTTAYTTATTTATTTTATATTAGTGTGGCTTTCTAAAGGTGTCCTCATTGCACAGCCACAACAGCACACTCCATCCGAGTGCCTTTGGTGCTCAGGACTGAAACTGGTCCTGTGTGGGGCTCAGCCCTTACACGTTGTGCTGTGATTCAAAGAGCAATATTAATGCAAATGGGTCTGTAATTGTTTAGTTTCCTCTATTTTAGCTTTTTTTCAGCTCCCTCATTGTGCAGTCACCACCAGTTTGATCTTTATGTATTTTATTAAACACACCTGCTGTAAGATTCACCCCTACAGCATAGGCTTAAGATGAAGAACTATCAGATTTGGGGTTTTCTTTGGCAGCCAATGAGTTCCTGTGTGGTCCAGATCCTTTGGGATTTGTGMTGGTGCTGGATGGCATGAACTGGCACTGCACATACAGGTGACTGTGTASAGAAACTGAAGAATCCCTCACAGTTCACCTAAAGGCACAAAATAACCAACTTCTGAAACTTGGTATTTTTCTAGGACTTGTGTGATTGTTGTTGTTAAGGAACATGTGAAAACATTCCCCCCTCAGTCCCCAGTATCCCTGGGAAGGACATTTTCAGGAGCAGGCTGTCCGACCTTGGTCTGACTCCTGTGCCTTTCTGACCTGTCCTTGTCAGAGCTCAGATCTGCCAGGCCAGCGCGGGGATTCCTTGGGAAATCTGGGAATAAGTGCTGATGTCTCATTTAGTCAGGAAGCAGGGACAGGGAAATACACTAACAAGGCATCTTTGTTTGGCTCGTTGCTCTGAATGAAGTCTATTGATCGGAAGAAAAACCCCTTTATTATAATTGGAGGGCTCTGCAGAGATTCAAACAAGCACCAGGAGTCTCGCCCACTTTATTTTTCACATTTCCATCTCCAGTAGCTGCCTCGTGTGTACCAGCACAAGTCCCACATCAGGGCAGGGACCAGCAGACCCTGCACTTGACTCTTCACCTCTGCACTGGGTTCCCTTTCAAGCCTTTTCCCGGGGGAACCATAAAATCCACCAGGACAATGGAATCACTGAGCACTGTGAGACCCTCAGTGATCATTCAGGAGCTGGCTCGATGGTCCTGGTGTGTCCCTTCCAGCCCAGGATATTCYATTATCTTATGATCATACATCTTACTTTACCGTGGTAAATCCTAACACCAAAATTTTTAGGGAGTCCTGTCCATTTTTGCTTTTGTTGCCTTTATTMATCTTCAAATTTCAAATTTATTCACATCTTTCACTTGCCTGGAGCTGGTTTTATGAGTCACCATAAAGTGTTGCAGCGTTTTGTTTCCTTCCATGTGAAGCTAGATGGYGAGGGCTGGAAGCAGTTACACTCTTGTGGTTCACTACCCTTTTGGAGTGTTTTATAAGAGAAACGTGAGCTCCTGGTTTTCTGCCTCTGCAGTGAAACCCCACGAGTTTCATACACATTGAGTCACRGTGTTGACAGGTGACTGATAAACATCTGCACCAGTCGAGTTACCGTAACTAAAAGRTTCGTGGATCCGATGTTTGCAAGTCACTTGCACATGAAACCTTTCATCTGATCTCTTTTTTTTGTATTTTTTTTTAAGCTGTGAACATTTTTATGGTTTAAGTAACCGCAAAATTCAGTTACTTATTTCTAGACATTCACCCCCAAAATGTTTTTAGTGCTTTTGGGGGGGCAGTTTATTTCCTCCTTGCAGCAGGCACAGAGAACAGGAATTGCACTGTGCTGCCCAGAGAGGTGTGAGCAGGATTTCAGGTGCACTCTCCTCCACTTCTGTCCAGTCCAGAGCTTTCCAAGCCCCAGAATACCCAGAGGAAAACATTTTTCTTCCATTAACCCTGTATCAAATGACCCTAAATGTAGGGATTTTATATGCATATATAKCTATATCTGTCTATATATCTATATATCTGCCAGTATTAAATTACCTGGATACCTCTGTAGAGGTCCAAGAACCAGGTGTGATGCAGAGGAAGCTGTARTTATCAGAGAACAGTGGGGAAAACTGACTTCAGTGTCCAAAGACTTGTCAAAGATGAGTCTCTCAGAAAGTATCCTCACCATGTCCTCTATTAGACTGGTTTGCTTCTTAGCCTGAGGTTTAAAAGAATATTAAAAAACAAAAAAAAAAAAAACCCACCCAAAAGCTACACATATCTAAGAACAGCCTCTTTTCAGCAGAGAACATCTCATTGCACGTCACTTCCCAGAGACTTTTGTGCTTTAGAAATGTCATCACGGGGTTTGAAGCTCTGTACCCACTCAGGTAATTTTGACCTCTCATCTCTCACAGGTGAGAAACGACCCACCTTCGATGTCAATTACAACTCCAGCTTCCTGTACGAAAAGGAGAGCGAGCTGATGCACGGGCGCATGATGGACCAGGCCATCAACAACGCCATCACCTACCTCGGGGCCGAGGCCCTGCGCCCGCTCGTGCAGACCCCGCCGGCCCCCACGGCTGAGATGGTGCCGGTCATCAGCAGCCTGTACCCGCTGCCRCTGCCCCGYGCCGAYGTCCCCAACGGCACCGCGCCGGAGRCCGACAAGAGCCACGGCCACCTCAGGGACAAGAGCCTGTCGTCCGACAGGGGCCTTTCCCCGAACAACAGCGGCCACGACTCCACAGACACTGACAGCAACCACGAGGAGAGGCCCAATCCCACCTTCCACCAGAGCCAGGTGATCTCGGCTCCGASCCGCAACGGCCTCCAGGCCCTGAAGGATTTCCCGAGGCCGTACGACATCATCAAGCCACCCACCATTTGTCCTCGCGACGCCTTCAAGGTCATCAACAAGGAAGGGGARGCCATCGGGGTGTACCGGTGCGACCACTGCCGCGTGCTCTTCCTGGATTACGTGATGTTCACCATCCACATGGGCTGCCACGGCTTCCGTGACCCCTTCGAGTGCAACGTCTGCGGCTACCGGAGCCATGACCGGTACGAGTTCTCCTCGCACATAGCTCGGGGAGAGCACAGAGTCGTGCTCAAGTGAAAGGACCGGTTTTCCAAGGTCAAAGGCTGTGTTTTCCATCGGAAGGGAGGCTTGGTTGGTTGGGTTTTTAATTAGTATAATGAAATTTCTTGAGTATTTTTCTAGGCCAGTTTTAAGTGTGTCACRAGGAGGCGACACCTTTTTAAATTCRTCTTTCACAATAATTCAGTGTTTTGTAGCATCTCTGCCTGGCTGCTGTGGTGAGTGGGACTGTGGGAAACACCAGGAACAGAGACTGGTTTTGATATGAACTTTATTTTTGTGAAACTTCAGAGCCATTTACGATGTTTTCAATTTTTAACTTGTGTTTGTTTTTATAGAGTTTGCTTTAAGTCAGCACAAAAGCTTTTCATGCCAGTTCCCCTGCTCATTCAGGTGTATAGTCAGAGGTGTGTTGGAGGAGCTTTTCCTACTTATAATCCCAATGGCCTCCCAATGGCTCATCACCAAAACAAGGAAAACGAGGGCTGGGAAAGGGAGGGATTATTTAATTTGGCCTTAAAGATTTTCCCCTAAGCCCTAACGAGCGTGGCCCCATCACACTTTCATTTTTCTTAAGCCCACTCTGACTTTCTTTAAAGTAACTCAGTTAAGAGGAAAATAAGAAATGAGACCTATTTAGGGTTGGGATTTTTAAACAATCCATTTTTTTGGGATACCCAGTGAGGTCACTGGTTGGCTTATCCATGTAGGCTGGGGGAAATCACGATTTTCATTGCTGGAAACTCCTCCTTTCTGATGGGTGCCGAGAATGAGGATGAAGTGCTGTGCATCTTGCTCCTGCTCTGCTCCCACAGCAGGACACGTGGCCATGCCATCAGTACCCCCACAGGGTGGCCCTGCCCGGCTGTGGACAGGTGAGAGTCCAGGCAGGTGTGTGAGAGCCACACCCACAGCAGGACGGCCCTCGGGAGATGCCGCTCCACRCCCAGAGCAGGTGTCATCCCTTTGATGCTGGTTTTTACAACAGTTCTTTGAATCTCCCCGCGGCCCCACAGCTGTCTCGGTGTCCCTGTGCTGGAGAGGGGTTTGGTAACGGCTTTGCTGAGTGAAGGTTTAGTCTTTGCAAAGTATTTTTGTATCCTGTAGTTAGGAGTGTTCTGATGGACTTTCTGCACCCCTTGTGTGGTTTGAGAGCTCTGTTGCTTTTGTGTTTTCCCTGGTGATCCAATCACTTCCCTGAGGGWAGGCTGGAGAGCTGAGGGTCAACAAGTACTGAATTTCATCCCTCCCTCTGAATTCTTTTTGGCTCAATTATTTCCTCTCTGAATTTTAAGGTACAAAATAAGAAAATTATATTACTTTTTCCCAGCAAGGGTAGGTCAGGAGAGGGATAAATGAGCCTGCAATGTGCTCGAGTATCCAGAGTGCTGTGGAAGTGCTAATCCAGGATCCAGCTATCCCTGGGGTTGAGGAGAATTCTTTTGTTTTTTATGTAGGGAGCTGTAAAGCAGGTTTAGGATGTCTCCCATCCTAAGAAAGGTGCGTGTTGGCTGTCCCCTGATGAACACGTGTGTGACAGTGTGACCAGTGCTCCTCCTGTGGGGGAGGCTGCAGTTCCACCTAGGATCAACCCCAAGGGTCAAGCTTTTGGGTCTGGAAAAGAGGGGAAGGGAGGGACAGAATTCCCAGAGAACAAAGAGAAGGTTCCACTGCTGTCCTGACATTTCAAAGTCCGACATTTTTAGGACATTGTGGTTGTTTTTATCAACTTCTAATTTTGTGACAAGCTTGCTTTTCAATGGCTTAGTTTTCAACACCAAAGAATTCTCAATAAATGAATAAAATATTTAAATAATGATGATGTGCTGACTTGAGGGTAGGTAAAGGCAGGTTCTTAAAGGAATCTGCAGAGATGCCACCTGGAGCCAACCAAAAATCTTATTTCCTATAAGTGGATTGGGTAATGGATTCATTTAARAATACTTTTGAATTGTCCCTTCACCCCTGTGCCACAGTGCTGCCCTGGAGCTGTTGGCCTGGGAGGTGGGAATCCCATCGGGCCATGTTGTGGGGCTGTGTTGGTCCAGGGCAGGTCTCTGAGCTTGGAGGAGCTTTAGAAACCACTTTGCCTGGGAAAACAGAGGGGAAAATCACTGGTACTGGTTGTAAGCCTGATTAACTCTGCTCCTGGCTTGGTTGTTTTGGTCTGGACCATGTTTGGAGCTTTCTCCAGTGCCTTGGTGTGTCAGTCTTGCTCGGTTCTTCATTTACTGATGAATTACATCCAAAGAGCAGACAGGGGACGCTCAGGGAAGGAGCTTTTGTCACCAACAAACGAGCTTTTGGTGCTTAAATGTTTAGTGAAGTTTTGAAAATGCCAATAAATTCACGTCCACTCTGTCAGCCACGAAAACAGCTGGGAAGTGACCGGCAGAGCTGGCTGAGGAGTGGGAAGGAGCACCGGGGATGGAACTGCCAGTGCCCATCACCTCTGAAACCTGTAAATCCCGCAGGTGTGGTGGAACCTGTGAGCAGCCATGGTGGTGCCGAGCCACGGTGGGGGCCGTGCTCAGCAGAACCGGTTACTCAGTGGAGTAACTGACACAGTCAGAGGTGTAAAATAACATCGCCCGCTCCTCTGACCGCTGGAAAATGGTGTTGGACACAGTTGGGGTTAACAGAGGAACAATATAACCCGAGAGCTGCGAGGTGGAGGCAGCTCAGCCCCACGCCGGGGCTGTGGGGTGGGCTCGTGGTTCCCGCGGGGTGCCGGAGCGCGTCAGCCAGATGGAAACATCCCGGCGGCGGAGGGTGGAGGCTCACACCAACCCCCCCGGCCCTYTTCGCACCTGCTTTACCAGGCTGACGTTGTTCGCGCTTGTTTCATTCCCCCCTGACACCTTCTGCCGCAAGAGCTGGACACGCTTGAGAAACAGAAACGAAAAAAAAAACCCAGAAGAAAGTCAGAGGATCCTTTTTTTTTTTTTTTCCCCTTCACTTCCTTCCCAGCCCGGGTGCAACACAAACACTGAGAGGTCTTTTCCCCTGCTGCTGCCGGGTGAATCCGAGTGCTGGGTGAGACAGAGGAGATCAGGGCTGGGGACAGCGAATCCCACGGCATCTCCCCATCCTGATTTTTCCCTTAATAACAGCTGGTTTGATCCAAAACCTCTGAGCCCTCTCCTGCCTGGAGCCAAACCCCTTTAAAGGCTTGCAGAAACCTTCAGTTAGTGTTGTGACAGAGCGATCCTTATCTGCTGATAGCTGTAATCGTGATAGAGCACAGAGGAACTCGTTTCTCCTGTCGCCGTGTTGAAACACGCTTCCTAAYGCACAAAAAAATCCCGTAAAACTTCCGGGTGCTGCGCTGCATCCTTGGAGCATCCCGGCCGGCTCCTGCTCCTTCGGGGAGCGGTCCAGCACCCAAAACCCGGCGGTGCCGGGAGGGGACAGAGAGCACTGAGTCACTGCCACCACCTCCTCCGTGTCCCAACTCCGCAGCCGTGCACTGAGTCAGGCTCCCCGCGCCGGCCCGGCGGGGACCTGGCGGCGTTTTCCCACCCTCCGAATGGGCCGGTTCCCAAATCCGGGATACAGGGGGTGAGCAGAGCCACCTCTGTGCTRAGCGACAGCGGGAAGGGGCATTGGAAGTGTCCCCAACTCTGGCACCGCCACGGGGGAACTCTGGAGCCCCGGGACACGCGGGTGCCGCACAAGCCGGGACAGGGCCGCGACTGTCGCCGGGCAYCACGATGGGGGCAGCAGGTTTGTGTCACGCCTGGTGCCCCCCTCGCTGCGCCGGGAGGGAAGTGAAGCCCCCGGGGAGCCGCCGAACCGGCCCCTCCAGCCCCTCCAGCCCCTCCAGCCGGGTTATATCTGGCGCCACATTTGCATGGCAGCGAGTCGGCACCTGGCAGCGAAATCCTCGGGGGATCGGGGACACGGGGAGCGGCTGGCAATTGTCACACGCCGGCGACAGGAAAGTCCCAGCAGACGAATGCTTTTAGAAGAATTTACTTCCAACCCGCACGGCTCCGGCCCCTGCGGCAGCGCCTCCACACCGGCACCCGCGGGGCTGCGGCCATGGTGGGATGGGGGTGATAGTCCTGGTTCTCCACGGCCAGAAGGATGCTCCAGGTGGGAGGTGACGCTCCTCAGCCTCCAACGTGACTCAGGTGCCCCCAACTGGGGATCCCCTCACCCACAGCAGCTCCCTGTTCCCCCCTCTTTCCACCCAGGACCACAGTRAGCAGGGCCGTGAGAGGGGCTGGGGCTCCCCCCAGTTCCCCCAGTACCAGCTCCAAGCTCCACTGCTGATCCCCTGGGCACTGGGAGACACCGTGGGGCTGGGGGTGTATCAGGGGGTCCTGTCCTCCCTCAKCCCCGTTTCCCACAGCCGTAGCTTTGTGCCGGGCTCCCCCTTTGTTACTCCCCGGGGCTGGGCAGAGTCACCCTCACCACACCCCCCCATCCTGCCCCCCGAGCGGAGAAAGTTAGTCAAATCTGCAGAAACCGCAGCGGGGGGAGGCAGCGACTCTGTCACCGCTTTGATGTCACCCCTGCACGTCCCACAGGTGCTGCCATCACCCCGGGGCCACGGTGCCACTGCCGCTTTGCCATTAACTCGTGCGAGAAGAAGGGGGGATAATGCAAAAACATTTCCTTCCCCACCKCCATCCTGTCCCCACGGTCCCTGGAGCCGGCGGGGCTCGGAGAGGCCACGTGTGAGGCACACGGAGCTGCGGCCGCATCCAGCCCTCGCTCGTGGGGCCGGCGGTCCGGGCAGGGCTCCGGGGGCTGCGCCGGGGACCGCGGGGGGAGCCAGGGAGGTTTCTGAGCAGCGGGGTTGATTCATGCCGGGCCTCCCGCGGTTTCCCCCTGCGTTCACCTCCCGGTGCTGTCACGCCAGGCGCCCACACTCCAGTGCCCATCCTGGCATCACTCTCTCCCCGGAGATGGAGGGGAGCYCCGGGGCAGCGTGGGCTGCTGGGCTCCCCTGCACCCAGTCTTTTCCACGCACCCCACGCCCACTCTTTACCCATCCCTGCATCACTTTGCACCCTGCCAAGTCCCCACTGTACCATTCTGAACACACCACACACTCCTCACACCCTGCTCTCCCCCATCCCAACACCTCCTGCACCCCGGGGCTCGGTGACAGGTGGGGGTGACACAGGACCCCCTGCCATGGGACACTGCCAACCCCACGGCAGTGCCCGGAGGATGCARCACCACGGGGTGACAGGGTGAGGTCCCCTGGGTGCCACATTCCCGCAGGTCGAGGGTACAGCCGCCCTGGGGAGCAGGAGGCGGGCAGGGGGCAGCTGCCAGCCCTTCCCAGCCCCGTCACGGCYGCTGCCCTCCCGGAGGAAGCCGCTCTGCGTTGCTCACCCGGCGCTGGTTATAAATACCCTCCCCATTTTAATGCGGCCGCGGCGGAGCTATTTCGGGCCGGGAAAGGGAAGCGAAACCCTGCGCGGGTCCCGGCCCCTCGCTCCCGGCCCCGAGGTGGGCTGGGCAGCGCCCGGGGGCCACAAGGGCTTATTTGAAGCCCAGGAGCCGCGCACCCGCCTTGACCTTCTGTGCCTTCCAGCGGAGCAGGCGGATGGCGCGGAGGCCGAACCGCAGMACGGCGTCGTATTTGAACACCAGCTTGTAGAAGGCGTCGGTGATGAGGGCGCCGCTGGGGTCGGCGTGTTTGAGCGCGGCCATCGGCGTGTACGCCACGTTGGTCTGGTGCCGGAAGGGCGGCCGCGCCGCCTCGATCACCCGCAGTGTGTGCTGCACGTGGGCACGGGACTGTCCCCTTCCTGTCCCCACAGCCCCGCCCCAGCCCCAGCCCCAGCCCGCCACCGTTCCCATGCCGCCCCCAGCTCCTTTCGACCCTGTCTGCATCCCATCCCCACCCACACCTCCATCCTCATTCACATTCCCATCCCTTCTGCTTTCCTATTCCCCTTTTATCCTCATTCCCATTCCAGTTCCTTCTCATCCACTTCCAGTCACCATCCCCAAGCCCTTCCCATCCTATTCCTGAATCTAATCCATTCCACCTCATCCCATCCCCATTCCTATCCCATCCCCAACTCCTTCCCATATCCCTGTCTTTATGCTATCCCATCCTGTTCCCATCCCATCCTACCCCTATCTCCATCCCTTCCCGTTCCCATTCCATTTCCATCCCGTGTACATCCTATTCCCATCCCATAACATTCCCATCCCCATCCCCATCTCCATCATCATTCCCATTCCGATTCCTGTCACCATCACCATTCCCATTCCCATTCCATTCCCTGTCCCATTCCCATTCCCATTCCCATTCCCATTCCCATTCCCATTCCCATCCCCATCACCATTCCCATTCCATTTCCATCACCATTCCCATTCCCATCCCCATCCCCATTCCCATCCCCATTCCCATTCCCATTCCCATTCCTGTTCCTGTTCCCATCACCATTCCCATCACCATTCCCATTCCCATTCCCATTCCCATTCCCATTCCCATTCCCATCAGCATCTCCATCCCCATTCCCATTCCCATTCCCATTCCCATTCCCATTCCCATTCCCCATTCCCATTCCCATTCCCATTCCCATTCCCCATTCCCATTCCCATTCCCATTCCCATTCCCATTCCCATTCCCATTCCCATTCCCAGCCAGGCTCAGCCCCATCAGGAAGGAGCTGTCAGGGTGTGATGGAGCTGCCCCACTGCTGCCTGGGCATTGCCGTTCCTCCTTAGGGCTGACTGACCTCTCTCTGCCCAGCCCAGCCCAGCCCAGCCCACTGTGGCCTCCTCCCCGCCCGTCACCTCTGCGATGTCCTCGGGGGTTTGGCCCAGGCTGGTGAACACATCCCTGGAGTTCCTCAGGTAGAGCTTGGTGAAGATTTCGGCCGTCTCGGGGTCGGTCCGTGAGTAGTCAGCACGTTCGGCTTCCTCGTACAGCTTCGTCTCGAATTCCGTCATCACCGGCCCCGGCTCCACCAGGCTGATCCTGCTGGGGGATGGGGCGCTGGGCACTGGGCACCCCCAGACCCCCAGACCCCCTAATCCCAGGGGCTGCAGGGCCACCCGCCCCCACACTCACGCCACGTTGAAGCGCAGCGCCTGCACCACGAGGCTCTCGCAAAAACCCTCCACGGCGAACTTGGAGGCTGAGTAGATGTCGTTGAAGACGATGCCTGGATGGTTGGAGAGTCCTGGTCAGGGTTGGGCAGGGGCTGGTCCCCCCGGGGCACCCCGTGTCCCCCTACCCTGCAGGCCCATGATGCTGCTGATGACGACGATGTGGCCYCCGCGGCGCCGCTTCATGTCGGGCAGCACCTCCTTGACCAGGCGGACGAGGCCGAAGAAGTTGGTGTCCATGAGGYTCTGCATGGCCGCCAGGCTCTGGCACTCCAGGGGACCCGCCATGCCCACCCCGGCATTGCTGACTGCGGGCAAGGAGCATCAGTGAGGTGTCTCCTGGGCAGGGGGATCCCACACCCTGGGCACGGAGGGTCCCTGGTGCTCGGAGTGTCCCCAAAATGGGATGTCCTGGGTGTGGAGGGTCCCTGGTGCTCAGAGTGTCCCCAAAATGGGATGTCCTGGGTGTGGAGGGTCCCTTGTACAGGGTGTCCCTGGCATAAAGGGTCACTGGTGAAGGGGATCTGAGGGTATTTTGTGCATGAGTGGGCCCTGGCACAGAGGGTCCCCAGAATGGGATGTCCTGAGTTTGGAGGGTCCCTGGTACAGGCCATATCCCAGCACAGAGGGTCCCTGGTGCACAGGGTCAAGGTCATGAGGTGTCCCTGGCACGGGGAGTCCAGCGCTGGGTGCACAAAGGGTCCCCAACACGGGACAATCTCAGACCAGAACACGGGACAGTCCCCAGAACAGGTGGTGTCCCCATCCTGAAGGGTCCCAGCGCGGAGCACCCTGGGCTCACGGCGGGAGGGGGRTCCCGGGGCTCACCCAGGATGTCGACGTGGCGCCCGGGGATGCTGTCGAGGCAGGCGCGGATGGAGCTCTCGTCGCACACGTCCAACTGTTTGATCTCCAGCGTCCGGCCCATCGCCGGCCCCGCCGCCGCCGCCAGCGCCCCGCTCCTGCCCACGTTCCTCATGGTGGCGATGACTGGGGGCACAGGGGCGGCTCAGCCCCGCGCCCGCTGTCCCCGGGGGCCGGGGGGTCCCTCCACCCCGCTCACCTCGGAAGCGGCGCTGCTTGTCCCKCGCCAGCCGCACGGCCAGCGCCAGCCCGATGCCGGACGAGCAGCCGGTGATCAGCACCGTCTTGGGAGCCATGGCACGGCCTCCCCGCCGCKCCCCAGCCCCCCCGCCTTTATAGCAGCTGCCCCGGCCGCAGCCCCCCCAAATCCGGGCCCTTAATCCCCCCTGGATAATCCCCCCCTCCCGGGGATTTGCGGCGGCCGCGTGGCTGAGCCGCACGTGGTGCCCCGGGAGCACAGAGGAGCCTTTGTGCGGGAYCCGGGGCGCTGCGGGGACACAGCGGGACGTGGGGACACCGCCAAAGGTGGGGACGCTGCCAGCCGTGTGTCACTGGCAGCGAGGAGCGCTGGGAACGGGAGGGAACCAGGCGGGAGCTCTGCAAAAATAACTTTTATTGTCACTGGTATAAAACACGTCCCAGTTCAACTGGCCTCGTGGGGACACGGGGGACACGGTGATGGGTGCCCCCCTCACCCCCACACCCCGGGACCCCGCTCCTGGGGACCCCAAAACCCCCCCGATGTGGGGGAAAAGGAGTGCCAGGCCCCCACAGGGACACTCGGGGACACTCGGGGACACTCGGGGCTGGTGCTGCGGGGCGGAGGGGAGAAAGTGCTTGAGTGTGGGGGTCCTGGTGCTGGGCTGTGCTGAGCTGTGCTGAGCTGTGCCATGCTGGCAGTGCCAGGCTGTGCCAAACCACCCAGCCGTGCCAGGCTGTGCCAAGATGTGCCGTGCTGGTGGTGCTGGGCTGTGCCAAACCATCCCACTGGTGCCAGACTGTGCCAAACTGTGCCATCTCATCAGGGCCAGGCTGTGCCAAACCGTGCCATCTCAGCAGGGCCAGGCTGTGCCAAACTGTGCCATCTCAGCAGGGCCAGGCTGTGCCAAACCGTGCCATCTCAGCAGGGCCAGGCTGTGCCACACGATCCCGGTGGTGCCAGGTTGTGCCAAATCCATCCCGGTGGTGCCAGGCTGTGCCAAACTGTGCCATATCAGCAAGGCCAGGCTGTGCCACACCATCCAGGCTGTGCCGAGCCATTCTGTGCCAGTGGTGTCCAGCTGTGCCAAACCCCGCTACGTCGGCAGTGAGACCGAGCCAAAGCACGCCAGCCGTGCCAGACTGTGCCAAACCGAGCCAAACCCCGCCACGCCGGCGGTGCCAGGCYGTGCCAAACCCTCCCGGCAGTGCCGTGCCGGGGCTCAGAGCGCCACGCAGGTGCAGTAGTGCCGCAGCTTGCAGGGCAGGATGCCGCGGTTGATCTGGTGGAACTCCACCAGCTGGATGAGGTCGGCGAAGCGCGTCTGCCCGTCGTCCATGGTGAAGTAGAGCCGACCCTCCTCCTCGCTCTGCCGGGGGCTGAAGGTCAGGACCCCCGGCCCCTCTGGCCCCTCTGGCCCCCCTGCCCTGGCCCCCTGCAGACCCCCCCAGCCCCGCGGTGGCACTCACCGGCAGGATGAGGTAGTGTTTGATGCGCTGCAGGTGGCACAGGGACAGCACGAAGCCTTTGGGGTTCCGCTGGCTCTCCCGCACCAAGAAGACCCTGCGAGTCCCAAGAGTGTCACTGCTGGCTCTGGGTCTCCTCTGCCACCTCAGTGTCACCCCAAAATCCTCCATTTGAGGGTCTGGTACCCCCTTGGATCCCTGGCAGTCTCCGTGCCCCCCCAGGAGCCTGTGTGTGCCCCAAACCCAATGGGGATGCAAAACCCTGGGGACCCCAAACCCTTGGGATCCTTCACCCCCAACCCTTCCCATGTCCTGCATCCCCCCATGAGCTTCAAGACCCCATCACCCCTGGGCTCCTCCCAGTCCCGTGAGCCCCCCAGGAGCCCCAGGGACCCCCAACACCCCCACCCCAGGGTCCCGTACCCGTCCACCATGCCCTGCCGGCCGATGAGCTGCTGGGTGTCCTCCCGGGAGATTCTGCCGTGGAACCAGGGCTGGGTGCGGTGGATGGCTGTGGGRAGAGGGGCGTCAGGCTCGGGGGGACCCCCTGTTTGGGACAGGGACCCCCACCAGGTGCTGACCCCCCCATCTCACCGGCGCTGAGCGAGGAGCTGTGGCAGGCTGCGGGCAGGCTGTACCGGTGCGTCGTCTTCTTCTGGGCACACAAAGCGAGGAGGGGGCGTGAGGGTGGGCTCAGGGGGACCCCTCCTCACTCCCCAGCACCCCAACTCACCCTCCAGGCCTGCGCCTCCTCCAGGGCTGCCGTCAGCACCTCGCTGGGGTTCTCGATCACCCGGCCCGTGCACCCCGAGAAGTCCATGGCCACCAGGGCGTTGTCCGAGACACTTCGCTGGGGGGGACAGGGGGGTCACCGGGGGGTCCCCAGGGGTCAGGGGCTGCTGGGAGCAGGGGACACTCGGCAGGGGACACTCACCAGGGGCGTGGGGCCGATCCAGGAGGGTTGGCTCAGCCGTGCCTGCGCTTGCTGGTAGTTGCGGTAGAGCTGCATCCCGTACTGGGGGGACAGCCCCGTCAGTTGGGGGGTCCCGCTGAGGGGTGGGGGRGCACCCAGGGACACCCAGGRACACCCAGGGACCTCCACAGCCACCCAGGACAGGGATGGGGACCTCTGCATCCACTCCCCATGGCCACAGGGACACCCACCCTGTGCCCATTTCCACTGGGAATGGTTCACCCATCTGCCATCCTTCTAGAACCCTCCACGTTCCTCCCCTYGCATCTCTCCAGCATCTTCCCAGCACCTCTTCAGTATCCCCCCATCATCCCCTCATCATTCCTCCAGAATGCCCCAAAAAATGCATCCAAATTCCCTCCAGAATCCCCCCAGAATCTTCCCAGCATCCCTTCAGTATTCCCCATAATCCCTTCAGAATATCCCCAGTATCACCCCAGTATCCTTCCAGAATCCCAGCAGCATCCCTCCAAATTCCTTCCAGAATCCTCCCAGCATCTTCCCAGCACTCCTTCAGTATCTCCCCATCATCCCTCCAGAATCCCTCCAAATTCTCCCCAGAATCCGCCCAGCATCTTCCCAGCATCCCTTCAATATCTCCCCATCATCCGTCCAGAATCGCCCCAGAATCCCTCCAAATTCCCTCCAGAATCCCTCCAAATTCCCTCCAGAATTCCCCCAGCGTCTTCCCATCATCCCTTCAATATGTCCCCATCATCCCTCCAGAATGCCCCCAGAATCCCTCCAAATTCTCCCCAGAATCTCTCCAAATTCTCTCCAGAATGCCCCCAGAATGCCCCCAGAATCCCTCCAAATTCTCTCCAGAATATCCCCAGCCTCCTTTGCCATCCCCCTGGTGTCCCCCCCTGCCGTCCCCCCGGTGTCCCCCCGGTGTCCCCCCCTCTGCCATCTCCCCGCTGTCCCCCCATTGTCCCCACCCCGGTGCCGGTGTCAGCGGCCCGGGGCTCACCTTGAAGAGCCGGAACGCGGCCATCCAGCAGCTGCGGCTCTGCTCGTCCTCGCTGCACAGCAGCTTCAGTCCCTTGACGCCGCTCCGCACCTTGTGGGGCTGCGGGAGAGGCCGGAGCCGTCACGGGGCAGCCCCGGGTGGCTCKGAGGGGACCTCGGCAGGGGGAGGAGCAGGGAACGACCCCGCCGCAGGCAGGGACATCCCCACCTTGATGCAGAAGCCGAATTCGGTGGGGGTCCCGTAGAGCTTCTTGCCCTGGGTCACGTAGTAGATGTTGGACTCGGTGAGGTCAGCGAAGTACTGGAGATGCCGGGGGTCCTGGGGAGGGGGTGGGGAGGGTGTCAGGACTGTCCSTGTCACCYCCCCGGACCCCAGGATCCCCTGGCCTCACCTTGGAGGTGCCTTTGGTGGAGTAGTAGAGCCCCGAGCGGCGCAGGGAGAAGTGGAAACGCTTCCAGACCTTGCGCCCGGCCTCCCGCAGCTGCAGGAAACCCTGGACCTCGGGGCAGCTCCCGGAGTTGAGGAAAT